TGAGTCTAATAGGACAGGTGCGGGGAAAGGAAGAATAGCCTGCAATCACATAAAAGTAGGAGCAGCTCCTAAAATTGTTTTGTCTGTGAAGTAGATGAGACACAAGATGGTTATGGCTCAGAACAAAAATGTGTACTGTAACCACCAGGAATCAATGAAAGCAGGTTACACCATGTAAAGTTAGCATGTGTGCAGACTGCTTTTTTTCCCCCCTCCGTAGTGCTTTTTGTCTTTTAACAAAGTGTTCTGCACTTCATAAAAGCCAATTGTCACAGCTTTTATCAGTTATGGCACAATTTAAGGCATGTATTTACTCTTCCTTCTGGTATTCTCAGAATACGTTGTATATGTCATTATTCTGTTACTTCTCATTGATGCCTGGTAGGCAAAGACAGCCTTCTCAAAGTGTATCCTGACATTATTTTCTCCAAGAGCAAAGAGGGTATCATACCCCTACTGAGAAGTATGTACTGAAAACAATGTTCATTCGCTACAATTTAGAGAGGTTTTCTAGCAATTCACTTGCATCTGTGCTCCAAAGCAAAATGTACAATTTTGAAATATCCATTTATTTTTATTTTTACAGAAAGTATTGCTCTTCTATGACTTGTTTTCCTACTAAAGAGGAAATCATTAACTAAGTTGTAACAACATGGCTTTTCTCAAAGGGAGTTCATTCTACTGTCCAACTACTCCCTAACTCCCTGTTTTCCTAACTACTTTACCTAGACGTATTTGTTTATAACCCTTCACAGACAGTGCAGTTTCAAACACTACCTTAAACATTTGCCATCATTCTTGCTTCCAAATACTTTCAGTTTATCATCATCTACTCTTTCTAGCCACCACGTCCCTGAACTGCAGATCAAGTTTGTATGTGGTTATATGAGTGGTTGATATATGGTGAACAGTTATTTATGGAGGCCAAATATTCAGACAGCCATTAAGTTTCTGCTTATGTACATTATGAAAAACTGTCACTTACAAATGCTAGATCTCAAAGTGTACAAACCTAATTTTCAGTAAACAGCACTTTCTGTTTACAGATAACTTGGCTATATACAAGAACAGAGGCCATATAACCTCCAAGTAAGCAACATGATAAAACTCAGTCTATGCAAAATTCCTCTAATATTCATTTTATTTTTTTTTGCAAGGCAAAGACATCACTGTAATCAATTCTAAGGCTAAAGGCACCTTCACCTCTATCCTTATTATTGCAGCTCCTTTTGGATCTATTGTAAATATCAGAGGTATCTGTTCTCATCACACGCTCTTCTCCCAGGAGTCCATCTTGCCTAACACTGTTCAGCCTTTTGTCTCCTGCTTGTAATGGAAAGAATGATAAAACGTGGGAAAACTTTGGAGGTAGATATTTCAGACAGCTCTGGATTAGAGACTGGATCTGCAAAAATTTTGCTGTAAATAAAAGCCTACTGACAGGGAAAACCTTACCAAATGTACATGCCTTTTGAGAAACACAGTAATCAATATTTTTCACATGTGGCAAACATATTCCAGAGAAGCAATACAAGCAGCAATAGAAAGAGAGAACAAAGAGTAAGCCAAAAACAAAGCAAAACCCCTCATCAGTGATTCTAGACCACTCTTGCTCAGGTTGATCCAGAGAAAATAAAAGGACATAGGAGCGCTTGCAGCGGTGACTACATAAGCAATTCCCTTAACGGGAGCTTACCAACACCTGTATACTTCTGCAGTTCTGCAGCCAAAGTCGCTAGAGATCAGGCAACAATTTCATTCTGCTATTACTGCTGCAGAACCAGGGTGCTTCCAGTCATTATTTATAGCTGCTTTTGGTGATTTAAAACCAACTGTTGCAGTGACTGACGAGGAGAGGCCACCTCCTTTTTAAAAACAGATCGGTTACCAATCTAAAATCAAGCAATAAGCTTTCTTGATAACCAATAGCTGCAATCCATGTTGCACCTTTATTCCTAGACACATTGAGCTCCCTATATGTCATTCCATAACTTATGATTTCATAACTTATGATTTCATTATCATACTAAAGCAATAATCACATTAGCAAGGTTCCTGTCTCCTTTCCTCACATCAAGAGCTGCACAAAGAGATTTCTTTGAATTGCCTCCAGAGAAACCTAGGCCTCTGGCCTTGCCAATACAGCTGGAACAGACCAGAGCGAATCTCTAGGTATACCTGAATGGCACATGCAGTTTAAATAGACTTTTTTTCAGGAAGTCAACAAACCGTTTCAGCCTGAAGCATTACTAAAACAGTCTGAATTACACAAACAACTGCTTGCAGTGTGACAAAATTGTACTGATACACGTGTGGTAAGTACTAGCATGCATATGGTTCAGGACATCTGTCAATGCCCACAGAAAACAAGTATTTAATGCTTTAGATTAAATGAGAAGATAAACCATTACATCTGGACAGACAAGGACACCCAGAAAAATTCAGATAAAAGGTAGTCCATTCCATAGTCCATCTTTGGTGGCAAATTTTGTTTGATAAAGTATAAAAATGTTGAATATTCTTCAAGTCTAGCTAGCTAAAACTGTCATTGGCTGGTGACTGTACTGATTCTATAGAAGCATCTCAGTCCTGCCCTCGCTTCACCTTCTGAGTCTGATACTTTCTCTTGGGGAACTCAAAGACTCAATTCCTTCAGTATTATACTGCAAAAAGCATAACTGGCTTTCTGTGGCTAACTGCAATGTAAGATCTTCAATGATTATCTGCTGACATCAAGGGGAGTCTGCATGTTGGCTTGAACAAGACCTGGAACAGCAGTAGTTCATCTTCTAGACTCAAAAGTACATAATAGCAACACTGGGTCAGATCAAATAGCCGTCTCTGACGGCAATCAATAGGGGATGCCTAAGAAAGAGCAGAAAAGCATACCTACTCTCTTAGCATGGGTTAATTGTGGTTGCAGCACTTTCTGATCCAGAGGTGGTACCTCAAGTATGTAAGAGTTCTCAACAGATTTTTCTTCCATTAATCTGCCCAGTCCTTTTCTGAATCCATATACATATTAGCATGCACTGTATCCTGTGCCAAGTAGTTCTGTAATTGTGAACTTCATGAAATACAACATTGCTTTGTTTGTGCTAAATCTACCATGTGTTTAGTTTGATATCTGTTAGTTCACGTGCTTCAGCGGACAGAAGAGTTGTTTCCTATTTTCTCCATACCACTTGCAGTTTTATAAACCTTACTTTATTCCTCTCTAACCCTTACCTGCAAATTGTCTCTTTTCTAGGCTTAAGAGTCCTTGTCCGCATACACAGTGACTGATCCTGTGTTGCTAATAATGAATTTGTTCAGTTGCTTGAAAACAAGAAAAAACAAAACCCCAGACTGGTTAGTACTGTATCAACTTGAAGTTGTTCTAGTTTAATGTCAGCCTCACTGTGAATGAGGTTAAGTCAAAGTTCAGTCACGTTAAAACCAAGTTAATAACCTATTTAAAAAGATAAACAGATTTAAACAAGGTTAAATTAAACATATCTCCAGTAGAACTCTGTACTAATCTATTTAGATTGATTTCTAATATAGTGAAAAGTGAATGAGGAAGTGTACCCGTCTTCATCACTTCAATATCCATCAAGGATATGGAGGTGAGACTGTCATTATCAGTTTGACATCCCTAGGAAACTCTGCCTGTAAAGAGCCAAAGGAGGTTCAAAGGAGGAATGTAACTGGCTTGTGTCTCTCACTGATAAAATTCAGACCCTCTGCACACTATCTTTGCCACAGAAGCAATGACACATCTGCCTCTTTGGGAAATTAGAGAAGTTGACCAGTTTAGAGACAGTTACACAAAGTTAATCAGACAAGAAAAAGTTGTGTTCCAGGACAACGCAGCATGCGACAGAGTAGGCCAACAGAAGAGTAGAGATGCCAACCGAACTGTAGTAGGAAGGCAGGCTCAGTACCCCTCGGGAGGGAGGGAGGGCAGGCCATCAAGAGAAGCAGCAAATATTTCACATATGAATGATGAAATCATGGAGAAAAAGGTATATAGGAAAAGGAGGTTATGAGGAAGAAGGGTAACAGTCTCAGAGAAGACATAAGTACTCAGTGATTATGACCGAGATGACACAAAACATATCATGCCAGTTATCTGCAGGAGACAGCGTGCAGCTAGCAGATTAAGCGATAAGTGCTGATACAAGAATATAGAAACATGTTTTATTTGCCTTTATAGTTACATAGACTACACTTAAACATTTACAAATTAAACTTTTATGATCAAAGTGAGACTCATTGAGCTAAATTAATGAACTCCTCATTGGTCTTTTGAAGGTATGACTCAAAGCACACAAGGTTATAGCTCTGCTTGCTAAATTTAAGATGTACTTATCCATAAATGGACTTCCTGATCAAGGTTTCCAGTCTCTTCAAAATAGCAGCAAGGGAGGAGTTTGAAATCTAACATAGCTAACATTTTCTGGGACAACCAGCATGAAAGAGATAGCGAATGAGCATAAGGTATCTGAAGTCAGCTAATAGGTCTGGAAACCAACCCAATAAGAAATAAATCTAACATAGTAAGAGCACTAACCAGTGACTGTCGGAACAGGAAACACTTCTTTGGATCAATACCACAGGCAAGGATGGCAGCAGTGGTGTCCAGTATGTTCTGGCGCAGGATAGCTGGCTCCTTGGGCATGGTGAGAGAGTGCAGATCCATTATGCTGTACAACACTGAGCTGGATTCCTCCTGCAGCCTCACCCAATTCTGGATGGCTCCAAGGTAGTTGCCCAGATGAGGTGTCCCAGTTGGCTGAATACCAGAGAAAATCCGATCCACAACAACACTCTGTTACAAAGCATTAGTAGAATTAACACACGCAAGTTTTGATAAAATATAAAATAATCTAAGTCATTAATAAAGCCTTGCTTATGTGTGTGTCTCATCCTTCCTCTTGTCATGTATTAACATATTAAAGAAAAAAAGAATTCCTAGCTCAGGATGGCCTACAAATAGTTGCAGCAAGTCAACCAAAATCCTTTACTCTAGTCATCAGTCTCTCTGGAGTAAGACAGTTTTAAGCTATCAGACTGCATATGCAAACAAACATAGCTGTAAACGAGATTGGTGACAAACAAGTCTCAGAAACCAAGCAGTAAAGTCTTTCTTCCTTTTTTGCTCCAAAGCTGTACGTTTCTCCTTAGTACATTATCCATTCTGCTACAGAAGCAGCCTAGAGGAATTCAATCGTTTTTGTTATAAACATATGCAATACTCAAATAGATTGCCATCTTAACTCCCACAAATGCTGAAATCTTATTCTAGCTGAAAAGACTTGCTAGAGGTAGTTCTGGAAAGATTCTAGTCCTTGACCCAAAGGTCAAAGAATAACGTAAGAGATTATCCACGTCCTGAAACTACCCATGTTGGTAGTAGTACAGAGTTTCTAAGCAAGGGTCTATAAAGAAATATTGCCACCCATCACTAGTGCATGGCTCAGGATCACACCTGGAATAACTGTGGACACATCAATATCAGGAAAATGTCAACATCTGGAGACAGTTCACAGAGAAGCAGCAAAAAAAGGATTAAGAAACTAAGGTTGTGAGCAAAGATTTAAAAAAAAAAAAAAAAAACCTTAAAACATGTATAGCTTGGCTAAGTGACAGTTACCATCTTGGAAAGTTTGTTTTCCTGCATCCCAGACCTCCATCTGACCAAGCTCTCAGAGCCTCAAGCTGTCAAGGTTTGATCTATTACCCCCCCAGGCCTTTCCAAAGAATTCCATCATACCCAGAAAGCAATTCATCAATGTTTTATGTGAAAATGCTTGTTACATGCCAAGTTTTAAGAACGTGCAAGAGTGCCGGACTTGGAAACCCGGGTTCCACCAAACTCAACAGGGAGTCCCAATGACAAAGCTACACAATACAAGCTGCCAGCTTCTGATGCTTGAGACCATCACCTTCATTATACTTAAGGCTGCATGATTTTTTTTCCCTGCTTATTTTACAAGTAACATCTAAAACAAAGTGGAGATAAATTATTTGTAGATATAGTCCATTTCCAATTCTGTGGATCTCTTATAAATGCATGGGGGAGGAGGAGAGTCATGCAACTGTGAAACCACAAAAAAAAAATGGAAGTAAGAGTCAAGGCCAAGTACCATTATTTTTAACTTTTTAACAAAAAAAAAAAAAAAAAAAAGACTTCAAATTGACTGTGTTCCTTTGATTCTTTCTGACTTGGACAGATTCAGGAAAAAATAATGAGAGAGTATTTCCAACTGGAATAGAAACAGGTTTGATCTTTTTCTTTTTTCGTAAAGGATCTGTAGTTCAGAAAAGCCTAACTCATTTCCTTGAAAATTTGCCTAAAAATTCTCTTTGCTCTCAAAAAAAGCCTGTTTTTCAGATCAAGCCAATTTTCTTATCCATTGTGTAAGTGTGTGCGCTGACAGGTAAGAGCAAACTTGGGCTAGCAGCCATGCTAATTTCTCCCGCTCAGCTAAGCTCCCACAGATTTAAATCCAGGTGGTAACTCCTCCACATACATTATATCTCAAATATCTGCTTCACTTCTAGGTATGTTCCTGAGTCAGCTTCTAAATGCTCTTGGAGAGCCTCCAGCACAGTAGCTGCAAGGCAGTCACACACTGCAGTGAAAAGTAAAGTATTTACTCCAACTGCAACTCTAACTCCCAGTCCCCATCTTCCAGTCTTTGCCCAGCCATGCTTTCTATTACTCAAAAAACGAAATTGCGCTGCTCAATTCCTTGTTTGCCGTTTAACCCCTTCTTTTCCAAGGGGACTGTATCAGAGCATTTATCACCACCTGCAGAACCCCCAACCTCCCACTAAGCTACTAGCTGGCCCAAGCAGGAAAGCCAATGTCCTGTTAACATGGAGAAGGAGGCATAAAGAATCTCACCACGCATAAATAAAATGAAGTTTTGTAGAAACGTGATGAGCTGAGGATGTACCAGGCCTCAGAGCCATGCTTACACTACTGAGGACACAGAGCAGCTGCTAGCTAGGCAATGCAACAGGTACTTAACAGGTACATTTATCTTTCAATTTCCTTGTGCTCAAAGAGCAGCAGGAGGAAGAGCACAAGAAGAGAAGGAGGTTACAAAAAGATGACCACTGAGATGGCATTCCACACCCACAGAGATTGCAAAACTGTTTTGCCAGAGCACGTTTCCTCTTCTCGTCTCCCTGCCTTCCCTCCCTCAGTTCAAATCCTGATGCTGCTTCCCACCTCTATTTCCTCCCACAGTGCTGCCTGCCTTCCAGCACCCATTTATAGCTCTGTTGAATCAAATGGTCAATAGCTTCTTATGTCCAACTCTTGATTTTTCTTTCTCCTGATGCTTACATCCCTTTAGTGCCCTTGTATTCTTTTCATCCTCTATCTGTTGCTGCCCACCCCCTGCCTCCCAGAAGAGCTCTCACACGGTATGCCAAGACACCAAAGAGGTACAGAAAATTGCATATGGTAAGTAGGCTACTACTGCCTTGACTCCAGTGACTTCATACAGAATATGTTTCCTGGCGGCACTATTAAAATAGTTAAAGCGTTCTAAAAATCCACCATGGACATGCATGAAATAAATTGTTAAGATGATTGAGATAAACGACACTGCAGAAATTGCACATCTTTCACTTGCAGTCTAGACAAAGGCAACATCACTTGAAATGCAGAGATATTTTATATGAAGTGAAATCATAGAGACATAATGTTATTGCTTCTTTTCCCTGGGACCTCTGTGCAGTCAGCACACGTCGGCTCGTGTACCAATACGTTGACCCAAGGACAGCTGGCACGCTGAGCCTGTGCAAAACAGTTCTATCTAAAAATCTTTTCAGTTCCAAGTTATACAAACTCCTTTCTCTTGCAATCCCAGTTACTGCTTCATATGCTTCCCATGACATGTTCACTATCTGCTTTTTCCTCTTCCCACATCCCTGCTCAGTTTGGAGATCAACATGAACCTAACAGATGTACTGGCAAAATTATCTCCCCTAATTAGAGGGCAATATACTCATATACAGGGTACAAACACAGCAGAAACATTTTTTAGGCAGTCTGAGAATGCTTTTCACCAAGAAAATACAGTACATCAATGCCTCAATATATATGGCACGTTCAAATTCTGCACCAATTCCAAATATTTGAGGAATAAGGATGAGCTAATTAAAGGGGGGTTTATTGTTATACTGTATAAGTTAGCATTTGGTGACATTCTGCATGCTGGAAGTAAAACACCCAAGCACAATGTAACATGAACACAATATAAAGAGAGAATAAAATTCTCTATCTAGAAAAGAAGAGTATACCTGTGAAGGTAAGAATAACATCTTTAATATTTGAACATGCAAACACCATTAAACAACTATTTATAAAAGGTTTGCTCAGTACATGAGCGATAAATATTCACTTAAATGAGAGAAACAAACTGTAGCAATATTATACTGACTCCAAGTTCAGCAATTACCTAAAGTATGGAATTTGCAGAAACAAGTAAACCCAATAATGAAAACCAAGCTAAGCTGGATCTGGACAAAGCTCTAGCAAATACATTACAAAGAACAAACCCGCATCGGCTCCCAGCTGAGGGACCAGTTGACTCTAAGTCTTTCATCTTTATGTTGTTAAATAGAATCAAAGAAGTTAAAGTACGAGATGTTACAGCAAATAGGGTGGTATGAAATATTCCATTGTGTTAGCAGAAGTCTGTATTTAACAAAAAAAAAAAAAAAGCAGCCCTTAAATGAATCTTGGATTTCTAACACTAAAAATATACAGAGAACATTGCTCCTTTGGAGAGAGTTTATGTTCCCTGTTTGTTCACTCTGTGAGAGTCAGCGGGCAGCATAGCAGCATGGCAGGGGAGTTGTGCCTGGTACCATGAAATCATGGGGCTGGAATGCGCTTCAATGGGGCTGTTAGGACAGGGGATGGGAGCCGGGCGCTCTAGAGTGCGGCAGTTGGAAAAGGATGAAAATAAAAGGAGTGAAGGCTCCCCAGTGGAGCGGAGTGAAAGCCACAAGACATGCAGCTCCAGCCCACAGGCACTCACTCATTCAGACATCTGTACTAAGCGCAGCGGGGGCCTGCGGTTCCTGTGTTTAACTCTGTACGGTGTGTGCACCTATTCCAGTAATGCTGCATGTTAATCTACCCTTCCTGGTAAAAGCATGGCATCTGACAGATGTTTTAACATTTATTATTCATTTTCTCTCATTAAGATTTCTGCAGGGCAATTCCAAACACTACAGTGCCTCTCTTGGTGGCATTTCTAAATGAAGGTGGGCCAGAAACCTGTTAAGGTTCAGGTATGCTATTATTTAACCTCCTTTTTCATTACAGGATGAACAGCTGCTGCTCCTTACGACTGAAAAACTGTCACCACCTTAAAGGCTCTTGAATTACCAGGAACAAGCATTCCATGCTTATCCCAGAGTGGGACAGCCAAAGTCTGCCCCCAATATCCTGCAGTACGGCCATATCCATTTTCAGTGGAAAAGGGTATTCCAGAAAAGCTGATAGCTTCTGAAACCCAATATTGCTCTCTTAGATCAAACCAGAACTTTACGCATGGAAACTCATCTTCTCAACAGGCCCCACTTGCAGTGAGGAGAGCTACAATTGTCATGATTTCAACTAAGCAGTCAAAAACACACCCATCCCCTGCAAGTAAGAAACAAAGGCGCCTTAAGTGGAGAACACAGAAAAGTTGCTAGAGCTGAGGAAATCATATGTGTGTGTTTCCTGAAGATCATCATAAACAGTTTTATTTTTAAAGCTAAGAAAGTGTTCACAGCATGCTTGTCTACTAGAAAGAC